GAGGAGAGGGGAGGAGAGGAGAATAGAGGTGTTGGCAGTGTGCTGCAAAGTTGGGCCGATCCGAGGACGAGACGAGGATGGAAGAAAATTCGGATACTTGCTGTGCTGGTGGGAGAGAGTCTGCCTTGGACTTTGACTGGGATCGGGATCGGGGTCGAGGATCGAGGATGAGGGAGCTATGTTGCGGAGATGGAGTAGAAGAAGGTGGTGGCTGGGACGATCGAAGCAACTGCTGCTGTTTTTGCGAGGACGTGGCGACTAGGTAGACAATGGTGGTGTTTCTTCCTCTGCGCGGGGTGGAAATCCGAAGGCAGGATGTTGGGCGTGGAGATCTGGCGAAGATGTGGCATGTAGAAGTTTTTGATTGTGAGGATCCTGAGGGTTTTTGTAAACGACGTTGTCGATCGTGGCTTGGAGTCCGGTTTTTGTTCTACAGTCTTTGAAGTGAGGTTATATTATACCCATTTAGGCAGGTGATCGATCAACCCCATATTTCATGATGAAGAAAAGGGTGACATTCAGTTCAAGTCCGCATTTATTCAACTGCAGGGCTTTTGCACTCGACACAACTCTCGTATTTATTTTGCGTCGTCCGGTTAGTCGTACCGAGCAGAATACAAATCGTAACAATTCGGGTGACGTTGTTGTGTTCGAACTGCGATACTTGGGCGCTTGTTCACATCCCATCATCATCTTCGTCTGGCAGATAAACTACCCTTAAAATATTACTCACTTTGAATAAATGAATCGGAAAGCCTCACGATGCGCAGGTATATAAGATTTCTAGCCACATCTACTGGAGTCCAGACCTATAAGCGTACCGTAGTCGGCTCGATGCCAAGGCTCGCTTCCACGATATTTCAACCGTAACGCCAACATGGCAATGTAAACAAGCCGCCCTATAGATGCCAGAACGCTCGTCTGATAGATACTAGGCTCAGGCGAACAGTTGTCTTTCAGAAGACCTCGAAAGCTTCTTCTTTCTTGCGCTCGCGGCGGGTTTGTCCACTCAGCAGCACAGAGCGACTAGACCTAGCAACATCACTTTCATCAGCCTGTAACATCCCGCTAGGCGAGCTTTTCACGGCTTTCGTTGCGTGAACATGAAACACGAATTGATCAATCGCTATGGGCTTTTACCTTGGCTAAAATGTTGGTGTTCATACCCTCAAAGGAGGAAGCGGGCTGCAACATCCAATGCCTTGAGAGGCAGTCGGTAGGATACAGGATAAAGGTCTTTGGTCAGATTGGGCGATACTACAGTGGTAATCTCCCCGAGCTAGGAGTCCTCAGCAGCGATCGATTGCTTGGAAGTCATTTTTCCACCCGCCATCCCTGGCTACACCTCATGTACTTCAGGATGGCCCTAATTAGGAGCGTTAGGCTACTTTGAGCTTGGCTCACTTTTCTGACAGCGGGCTTCTTCTCTAGCAAGCTGCTCTCAGCATCAAGAAGCTTGCTACTGTAGCTAGCTCTCATCACACCAATCACAGCTCAAGGGCGCCTGTCAGCCAAACTCACAAGCTCACGAGTTCACCTTCTCCCTTTTCCCTCTTTTCCAAGCAATCGAGTTTGAAGATGAACGCATGTACATGGTGTCTATGTTTTAGCCTTGCAGCAGCCTATATCAAAATGATATCTCGCTTAATATCAACACGGAATCTGAACGTTGCCGAATGAAGCCTCAACCGGCCGAGAAGCTAAGATAATACGCATGGAATTATGATATATGCCTGGTATTATCAGAATTATTTGATATTAGCCGCTAGCTTCGAGATGCGCGCAGCTTCAAGTGGCAGCTCCATTGCCGGATGTATGTAGAGCTATCGAAAAGACAGGGAGGTCCTAGAGATGGGGCGTATGCATCGAGGAGCGTGCTTTGGTGATTGGATTGCAGACTACCGGTATACTACGCAGCCTCTCGCGAAGTATCTCACACAAAGTCTAATCAACTGAATCTTTGAGTTGTCAAGTTACATGCTTTCCAGTCATGTGCTTTCGGACTCGGATAGATAGGGATTTTTTTTTCCCAACCCAATCACATACATAACCTTTGGACAACAGGAGACAGAGTTCTCGCACCGAGTGAGAAATCGATATGTCTCGTCGTCGGTCGTGCCCGCTCTTAAAAGGCAAGGTCCGAAACACTACAACGCTTCTCTATAACAGATATTTGTTAACTAATCGCAGTGAGTCGGTCTGAAGTGTATCTAAACTCAGGATATCATAGAAGAATTATTCGAAGAAGATCTGCGTCGGCGGAAGCGTGCGTAAGATGATGAGTTGGGCACGAGGTACAGGCTCCGGATGCAAGGGACAACCCCGTGAGAACTGCTTTCCGCCGGTTATCAACCATCATCTGATCATATCTACAAACTAGTAGATCAAAAGGTTTCTTTTTCTTCCCTTTCTTTTTCCATCACAATATTTGAGTCCCTGCTCCAGGTCGTCTCGTCGCTTAGGATTTTTCCAGGCCGCAAGGTTACGTATGCCACATCGCTGTTTCCGCTTCCGGAATCCGAAACGCCAGATTGGGAAGAGAACCTCGACGGCTTCTCTCAGCACAAATCCGAAGAAAAAATGCCCTCTGCAACGAGACTGTTATGCAATGGTCAGATTCGTACTCGAGAAAGATCCTGGGATTGCCTTATTGCACGGAATGTCCCTTAGTACTTAACCCTTGCCCCCTAACCCCACGCCGACCCCCCTTTTTCACTCGCTTAGTGAACCAGTCTGTTGATCAACGCTTGCTGTTAAGGGATTCGCCCTTTCCTTATACGTAGTAAAATCGAATTACGATAAGCATCCAATCCCTTGCCTTTAAAACCTAGATGATTCTTTGTGGTAACGGGAAGATGATTTATTCCTAAAAGAAAAAAGAAAAAAAAAAATTAGTTCAATGACCTCGCACCTGATCTCAGCATTGTTGTGAACGCGCGCCACCACCTCTTCCACCGCCCTCCCATCCTAGAACTTGGTTCTCGGAGCTTACTAGCTTCCGTGATAAGTTATATCTGAATGGCCGCTCTTACGGTACTTAACTTCCCAGCGCGCGAGCCTTATGCACGCGTGCATCTCGGCTGAATATCTCAGTTGGCTAGTTACGTAGTAGCTAGCTACCGGTACCTACTCAGTTAGTCACACTGCCTGCCTGCAGTACACAGCGACGATCCGCGCGCGACACGACAGCGCGTCACCAATCACCGATCATTGGCTAGGTCTTCTCCCCATACAAAAACCTATGCCACACCCTATCGGGACATCATTATCGGCCCGACGTAGCTGGGAGGGAAAATAGAGGTTCGGCTACCGTATCTCAGGCACGGATAAGCATGCCTCGCCTAGTGTGGTGGTCTGCCCTCGGGGAACACCCAAACTTTGTTGTAAACGCTATTGTATAGCTAGTGCACGTGACTACTTCTCATCGTATAGAAGGAGTCAGCTCCCCCAAACCTTGGGGAGAGGACAGAATCCAAGTACTATTCTTACCTGTTGTGTTGCTATTGCAGTACTTGCGGTGCACGCTAGTGAGACGAACGTTCGCTACCGGCGATCCAACCCACCCCGGATCGAAAAGCCTCTTCCACACAACAATATCGACGACGATAACAACATAGCAGAGAAAGTGAAGTCTGTTGAATTTCCGAATCCATAACATATCTAACTACGTACACACCTACCTACCTATAAATCTTCTCCTCTTTTATTGTTTCCCTCAGTCTCGGCTGGTGATAGCAACTGCTCTAGCCATTTTCGGGAATAGCTTATATATGTATCGCGGAATTGTCGATAGAGACCGCGCCATCTGGTATCATTATCCTACACACCCCTCCACCGTCTCCTTTCGAGATGAGGTTTTTCGACAAAAGGACACAAAAGCAGCAGGAGCTGCAAGATGAGGGCGGAGAAGGCGGCCTTCGGCACGAGATGAAGAGTGCTGGTGCAAGGGGAACGAGTGGTGAAATCGACGAGGAGAAGACCACGGACAACGAAACGTTGGCGAGTCCATACCCACGACCTGGCTCAATCGATTGTGCCCTCTCATTAGAGAAAGAGAAGGCCGTTGTACGGAAAATTGACATGCGGTTAATCCCGCTTGTGATGATGCTCTGTTAGTATGCTCTCTGATTATGTGGTATTGGGATATATATTAACAACAACACACAACACGGCACAATATAACACAAAAAACAACACAAGTATACGTGAATACCTGCTAACGGCCCTCATCTCAGATCTACTAGCGTACTTAGATCGTTCCAACATCGGAAATGCCAAGATCGCCGGCATGTACGCGGACCTGCATCTCAACTCGGGGACGTACGAGTGGCTCCTCACCATCTTCTACATCTCCTACATCGTCTTTGAGCCGCTGGCTCTGATGTGGAAGGTCATGCCGCCGCATCGCTGGGCCGCTCTAACCGTCATGGGCTGGGCCGTGTGCGGAACGCTGCAGGCGGCGGCGTTCAGCTGGCGCGCCATGATGGTTGCGCGCTTCTTCCTCGGGGTGTTCGAGGCGGCTTTCTCGCCAGGTATGTAAATCTGTGTGTCTTTTTGTCCCTCGCTTTTTGCTATATATACAGTATGTATAAACATAAAATCAGAGACACTCACTAACAGTCGCCCCAAATCCCGTCACCGCAGGCGTCCCCTTCCTCCTCTCCTTCTTCTATACGCGCAACGAACTAGGCGTGCGCTGCGGCCTCTACCTCAGCGCCGCTCCTCTGGCAACGTGTTTCGCTGGCGCACTGGCCTACGGCATCACGTCTGGAGACTCGTCCGCTATAGCGTCCTGGCGGCTGCTCTTTCTCGTCGAAGGCCTGCCGGGTGCGGTCGCCGCTGCTCTCACCTGGTTTCTGATGCCGGATAGCCCCGAGACGGCGAGCTTCTTGACCCGGGAGGAGCAGGCTGTGGCTAAGGCACGGTCGGTAAGACAGGTGGGCAGCGAGGCCGAGAACCGCGTTGGTGGTGGGCTGCAGTGGAGGGAGGTCGGCGCTACGGTGTTGGACTGGAAGGTACGTACGTTCTGTACAATGTAGAACCCTGGGGATGGGATAGGATAGAATGTGTTGGTACTGATTCGGATGGTAGCCGTGGATCACAGCCTTGATGTACTTCTCCTGCAATGTCTCCTTCTCATCCCTCCCCGTCTTCCTCCCCACCATCCTCGCTGAGATGGGCTTCTCCAGGGTCAACGCCCAGGGCGTCTCAGCGCCGCCGTATTTCCTGGCCTTTCTCCTGGTGATCCTGACCACTTGGGTTGCGGACAAGACCTCGCAGCGAGGCGCGATGATCTTCGCCCTTTCACTCGTCGGCGCGGCGGGTTACATCATGCTTGGAACTGCGACGAGCGTCGCAGCGCGCTACACTGGCGTATATCTTGCCGCTGCAGGCGTCTTTCCAGCCATTGGGAATATTCTCCCTTGGGTGTTGAATAATCAGGGGAATGATACCCGGAGAGGGACGGGCATTGCAATGCTCAACATGGTTGGGCAGTGTGGACCACTGCTCGGTACGAGGCTGTATCCTAGCAACGAAGGACCGTATTACAGGAAAGGGGTGTGGATTTGTGCTGCGTTCATGCTGCTGAATGGAGTACTGGCCTTGTCTCTGAGGTTCTTGCTGGTGTGGGAGAACAAGAAGTTGGATGAAAAGCACGGGATTGTTGACAGCGCGGAAGAAGTTGGCACGATTGGAGAAGAGAATGCCGGGCCGAAGTTCAGATATATTTTATAAACAGTTCAGGTATTGATGGATCTTGAGCAATAAGTACGGCGGCTAGGTTAAAGAGCATGTTGATTGCTGTTCTACTGATACGGGAACGGATACAGAATTTTGAGTCATGTGACCTACCTCGGGCCCAGCCCCCCGACAACCAAAACACTATTTTAACCGATCAATCTACGGAGTATATTTCAGAAAATCTAATGGCATATATCACATCTGTCTATCATCTACCTACCTACCGCCTGTTATAGCAACGGAGTATGCATGCGCAACTCTCCCCGAATATAACATTATCTATCCTCGTTCAACTCACAGCGCAAAAGCAAACCGACCCTTCATCCTCAGTCTCTCCCCATATAGCCAGAACAAAACTGAGAAGGGCATCATGGCCAGGCACAAGAAGCCAAGCAAACTCGTCGCCCAATCCACCCCCAGATCCTCGTACATGTGCGTTGCAAACAGTGAAAAGCTCGCGGCCATGGCAGCCCGCACGCATGAGCTCGTCGCCAGTGCCGAGTTTGCATCCAGCAGATACGTATCTACAACGTAGATCTGACTCGGGAAGAACACCAGATAAATGCCACACCCGATGAACACACCCGAGATGACTTGCAGCACCCAGCTGATGCTCGGGTCGGACGTCCACGCGAACCAGAAGAGGCCCGCTGGTAGCAGGACCGAACCGATCATCATGGGGGGGAGGCGGGATTCGGGAATAAAGGGGTGCGGGAAGGCGGCGAGGAGACGGGCGAAGCGCGTGTTGTTGTCGATGGCGATGTAGAGGCAGCAGGCGACGATGCCCATGAAGATGCCGAGGAAAGGGAGGGAGGAAACGCCTGCTGACCAGCCGCGCACGAGCTGGAAGGAGAAGGGGTAGGCGAAGAAGATCAGGTAGAGGATTGAGTAGACGAGGGAGGAGTAGAGGGTCATGGCCATCGGCTGCATGGTGGCTGTTAGATTTTGAGTATGGGAACAAGTGGAGGGAAGGGAAAGGAAGCGGAGGAGAGAGGGGGGACTTGCGATGGGTTCCCGAAAGAGCATTATCTACGGTTTCGAAAAATACTTTTCCAAGAGGTTGCGCATATTGAGGGGCGACTCGTCGATCGGGGCGTGTAATGCCCAGTTCTTGGTCTCATGCGCTCCGCTCTACGCTTCAACAGGATCGGCGTATACGTCTCGGGTATCCTAAACAGGCCAACGATTCCAAAGAACGCACTCATAATCAGAGTGATCCAGGCCGTCCATCTCCATCCGAGATGACTCTGCGTGATGAACTCTCCGACGATGGGTCCAGCGATAGGTCCCAAGAAGGTGGCGCCTGCGAATCCGGCTGTGGCGAGCCCGCGGTCGATGTTATCCTAGAAGTCGACGTATGTTCCGCCCACGATGGCGATAGGAGCAGCTCCGAAACAACCGCCCAGGAATCGACTGATCATGATATTTGCTACGTTGGGCGCGACGGTCACGGGAAAGAGGAAGAAGCCGAGGAAGAGGGGCTGCGTGCGGCCGTATACCTCTGAGAGAGGACCCCACAAGAGCGGTCCTGTGCAGAGAAAGAGAAGATGGTTCGGCGTCCAGATGCCAATGATAGAGGGAGAAAGAGGGGGAGAGAGACAGCTCACCACATGGGAAACCAGCTACATAGAGCGATACGCCGAGAATCATTACCTCCTGACTGACTCCGAACTTAAAAGAGGTCACCGTCATCGCCGTACTGGAAGATAGAGGACGCAAACGAGACGCAGAATGTCAAAATAGCCGTCATGATAGTAATCCGCCACTTCTTCGCACGAGGAAAGTTCATGGGGCTCTCTGAATCATCGGGTCCGTCCCATGAGACGATGTTGGTGGCTGGATCGATACATGATGCGTGCTGATTCTGTTTCTCGAGATCCGCACCGGGAATGTGGTGGTCTTCGTCGAGACCCGCACCGGCTTTGAGGTCGAGGTCGAGGTCAACTTCGGCGCCGTTAGAAATGGAAGGGGCTCGCGAGGGGGCAGCGGTGTCTGGCAGAGAGGTAGAGTGCCATTCTGTGCCATGCTTCGCCATCGTAGGCGCTGACGACTCTGGATCCGCGAAGGCAGCCATGTTGGCAGAACGGACTGATTGTAGGGAAAAGAACCAACGAACGAAGTAACCAAAGCCCGTGAACGAGAGAATGGGCCCTGCTTGCTACTTATCCAGCGTAGTGCTCATTTGTCGTTCGGCCCACGCGCCAGTTCGTGGTCTGTCTGTTTGATACTTATCCTTATCCATTCATTGGTAAAGAAGCCTCATCTTTACTAGACCAACCAACGCAGACATGTTAAGGGGGAAGAAGGGGAACGACCACCAAAAAGGAACGGCCATATTCCAATATCCTCTAGACCCCCCACCGGGTAACCTTCACCGAGTCCCCTAAATACTCAAGGTTTCGAAAGACGGGCGGCTACGAAGCTGCGAACGGCTGAGAGAGTTGGGTTTCTGACGTTCTGAAGTGTACCGAAGCCCCGAGCCAGAAAATATGCAAGCTTTCCGGGTGTCTCTATCAGATCTATACAGGACTTTTCGGCTTTCTGGAATTTTCGTATTTCTTATGAAGTTCTGATTATTGGCTGATTTAAAAGTTTCGATATATTCTAGAACTACTTCACATAGCAACGCACTGCCACAGCAATTTGGAAGTGGTAGGGGGAGCCTGCTGATAACGGAGCAAAAAGCCTAGTTCAAGCGAGAAACCGCAGCTGGTCCGGCGAGCTCTGCTAAGTCCCTCCTCGGTTGTACCTCAGCACGCGCATCCAGTTTCCGGCTCTTCTCAAGAGTACTGTCAAACCGCCCAAGCAGTAGACGCCACGACAGACCACCCCACATCCATCCATGCGATCCCCAACGACGTCTAGTTCCCCTTCGATTCCTATGCTCCAGGGCAAACGTAGTAGCCATCGCCTCCGCTGCATGGTTTGCCGTCTTGTCCAGCGCAGGACCCTTTGGAGCAGCCATACATCTATAACTTGTCAGTACCTTTCTGGATAACCATCTTGCAAAAGAATCTATGGAGTCACATACGCCTGTACGGAAGGTGCAATACTGGGTCGTAACCCCCTCCCTCCTATAGGTGCACCAGCCGACGTTTACGCCGGCATTTGTGTTCACCTGTACTGCCGATGGCTGGGGAGCGACGGGACCGGCGGGAACGGCGAATACCGAAGAGGTGAAAGCCAGGATGGCGAAGAGGGTGATAGAAGAGGACCGCATTTCGGAGGATGATAGTGGATGTGTTTCTGAAAATGTGTTATCGTAACGTGTATTTTGAAAATGAGTGTTAATGTGCTGTTTTGAAACGAATAAAACGTGGCATAGCAAGCAATGGTTGGAGGGGCGAGCATATATATATATATATATATACCACTCCCCTCCCCCCCGAATTGCTATAGCCTCAGGGTGCCTCCAAACTTGAAATTTCCACTATAACCCCCCTGCTTACCCTACCCTCAAGGCTTCCCCTACCCTCAAGGGTGCAACAATTACGCCTGCGACGTAGTACCGAAGTAAACGCCTATTTCTCGAATCTTAAATCTCAAAACATCTTTGTTTCACTTCCGTTTCCACTTTCTCCTCTTCCACTTCGCTTTTGCTTATTTGCGTGCAAAGCTTGTTTGCTTGCCCCCAAAAATTCTGCTTTCATACAATCAACAAGCAAACTGACCAGCTATGACTATCCCCCCCCCTCCCATGAATCCGTGTCGGACCCAGTTGAGCTGCAGAAATCGTGGAGCGGTGATTGCTGAGTGGCTTAGAGCCCTGCCAACTCCATTGCACAGAACTACGTAGTACAAGTAAATCCTGGCTCAAAGACACTTTTCAAGGCTGAATGAATGCGGACACCATGGGACAGGCCTAACTAAGTGTTACAGCCTGGGGATGCCTTAGAAGTCAACATCTCCTCTTCGAAGCTCCTGGGTGCCTTACCCTCCGGGTGTAGCACTTACGCCTGTGGCGTTGTATAGTATTACTACTATATCGTACCGGTATTACAACCTCGCCTCAATTCTTAGTTTTAGAGAATACAAGTTAATTAATCAATCATAACTACACTTATTAAAAGCTTCTTCTTATGACCTAGTACTTTTATTGAATAAGTACTAGCAATAATAATTACCGAAATAATATATATATATATATATATATATGAAATACGTCACTTTGAGAATCGATTTATCGTTATCAAGTTTTTATTTGTTAATAATCAAGTCTTTAATATCTTCTAATAAAGAGAGACTTAATTTTTATCTATTAACCTTTTCCCTTTCGAAATACATCGAGCTCTACTCTGCTGTCGAAGAATAGAAAAAAAGCAATTCAATTGCCTAATAAATCTCAGCTTTAAAGCAGAATCCAACCCATAACCCATTCCGTCGCTAATTTCATGCTTATCATAACCCCGCAATACTTCATCCAGCAAAGCGAGCGAGCGGATAAGGCCTTTACGTAGGTATTGTAGCTAGTTCCAACCGCAAGGAACTTGCAAGATGGTGCCAGGAGCGAGTTTCTTACTCTGATCCAGGGTGAGGTTTAAAAGCCACATTTGAGTATAATCGGCGCAGAAATCCGACGCGATAAGTGACAACTCGTCGCCTTCGACGACCGTATAGTACCCAAACTCTTTCCCCGGGATCCTAGAGCAATTGCGCTTTCGACTTTTGCAAAGGACTTTTATAATTTGGTTTGGAGAAAACGAAGAGGTAGTAGGATTCATGTTTTGCAGCTCTGATTCAGTGGAGCAAAAATCAGCCGCGACATTAGCCCAAGTGTCGGTGCCTTGAACAGTGTAATAGCCGGTGCCGGTAACGCTGCTAGTAAGGTCGGGCCTGCAACTTCGACGGATGGCGGTTGCGACGCCGAGGAAAGAAGCGAGCAAGAGATTGTTGTTGAAACGCATAATGGAGTTGGGATATTAAGGTAATCGTTTTATCGAATTGAGCTTATAAAAAGATTGTAAAGCACTACCGGTATGATGATAGTTTATAACAAAGTTGAAAACATAAAGAGGGATGCTTATCTTATATAGTTTTGATTGCAAAGTATCTAGCCCCGCAATTTCGTATAAGTACTACTGTATTTATCGCTAGTACTACGTATATAAAATACGAGCAATACGTACTACGTCTCAGGCGTAAAGTATCCTCGAGGGTAGGGTAACCAGGGGGTTTAAAGTGGAAACTAAAGTTTTGAGGCACCCTCGAAGGGTAATACGTAGTACTTAGGCCTGTACCGTGGTACGGTACTACGTTCGTAGTACGTACGTAATACTACGTAAGTTGATCGATTCAAGCCCCGGTAAGATCTCTTGCAAAAGTATACCATCGAAATGTACGTAGTAGTAGAAGTATTATTCATATACTACGTATCTTCAAGTTAGTATTAATCTGTGCAATTGAGTTGACAGAGCTTTGAGCAGTTTAAAAATAGCGCTCTATGATTTATAAGCTCAACCTACTACGTATAATGGTCGAGATATAGTAAGAAATAATCGGCCTTCGGTCGGGCTTCGTAAAGTTTATCGCCCAGTAAACGCCGCATCGAATGAAATGAAATTCCGTAGTACGTAGTAATACGAGAAAGAGAAGAGGGAAGAAATAAATATAGACCATATTTATTTGCGACAAAGCCGAGTTATACTTGATTCGAAGTTTACAATTATGGTAATTTTAGATATAGGCTTTTGAAATGTACTTATATACCTTCAAAGTCTCCTTACACTTTTATTCATCATCAATACGGTCCGGCACCATCTTCTTCACAGCTACTTACCGGTATCTACTTCTCAAAACAACAACCCTTCTTTAACTACTCTATCAATATGCGATTCATCAACGTTCTTTTCGCTGCAACTATTATTGCAATCGCGCATGCGGAAGAACCTATGCCTGAATGGGAAGATCCTGATCGGAATCGTAAAGTTCCAGTTGAGGATGCTTCTGGACGCATGGGAATACTCTTAGTCTGCGAAGACCCTTGGTGGAAAAATTGCGAGAACGTCACTTATTTCCAAGACAAATGCAGTAAGAATTTCTTTTTTTTTNTTTTTTTTTTTTTGAAAAGTTTAGAAGCTAATAAATACAAAAAGTGGGACTCGGCCCATATAATCTTGACAATAAAATGACCGGTTTCGATACTTACTCGTACGGATGCGAGTTTTACGGGTAAGCAAATCATTATTATAATTCCTCAATTTAATTTCATTTCAAATAGCTAATTAAAATCAGTCCTGGTACGTGCGAAACCGATGATTTCTACTTCGTTTGGCGAGGTGCTGTCACCGATCTTCTATCGACCGGTTATTATAAGTCTAATGACCAAATTTCTTCATTCCGTTGCGGAACGTAAAATGCAAAGATTCATCGCGATATCGAGATTCCGAGATACGATATCGAAAGATATAAAAAGATGAATAGCGAAGGGAGGTCGTTTTCATATAGTAGATTAGATGTATCTATATGGCTTTGTATTGCTAGGCAACCACGACTTTATCAAAAAGCTCCTTATCTATACAAAATTTCGTTATAAACTACCACGGTACAGGCCTAAGTACTACGTACGTAGTACAGTACTACAGTGAAAGCTCCGTTTGCATACCTACCTACCTATCCGCTGCAATGGTTGGCACGTCGTACGCCTTACGTATGACTCATTATACTTTCCCTCGCCGGCTGGCTGGCTAGTCTGGAACACTTTTATACTTCTTCTATTTATAAATACAGAGTTATGATCATGCGCGAGGCACAACCACCCCCTTTCCCTCTTAGTAGTACTACGTAACTTCGTGATTTCCAGCGTCTGGAGATCGGGGGAGCGAGATTTCGCTTGGCTCGACTGCTAGCTGTTCTATGCCAGCTGATGATGATTCCCTCATCCGCGCTCCGTCAAGCAAGAAACAAAAACCCCGGGCCGCCGCCGGGTCGTCGAAAACCACATCGCAAAGAAAGAAAGGAAGAAAATAAAAATAAAAATAAAAATAAAAAAAGAAGAGAAGCGGTTCGAGACATTACAAGTATCGGTAAGATTTGCAGCCCGAACCGCGCCATCGATTCGTGAGCAGGCTGGTTACATCAAACCAGTCACATTGATTGCGTAGGTAGTACCGGTAGTAGGTACGTAGTAGTTTGATTAATGAAATGGTCCGACCAAGTGGGCCGAGAAAAGTTATTTGATGAAGTACCGTACTTTGATGCTACTATTTATTTTTAGTACTCCTCGCACGGACTCTCGCCCGCGAACCCGTATCTCGCGTAGTGTAAATGCTACTACCGGTACGTAGGTAGTTTACGATTCTACCGCTTGACGGCTCTACCATCTTACGTACAAAACGCTCAACCTGATACCGATCTGCCGGTAAGAGGTGCAGCTCGAACAGCGCAGTCGGTTTGCACGTAAGCATGGTATCGTATAACACGATCCAGTCAAGTATAAACTGCGTTCGTCGACGAGCGGGAATTCGGATTCTGGTGTGCCTTCCGTGAGAGCGGCGTCCAGTCCTCCGGAGAGATAAGGCGACTGACCACCACCACCACCACAACAACGATGAAACACAAAAGATCCAGAAGTGAGTAAGTCCTAAGTCTGTATGTAGGTAAACCAGGAGGCCACGATTCTCGACCCAGTACGAGGCGGCCTCTCCCGCAGCTCTTCTCCGGCGGCGCAAAGGGTTTGGAAAAGCCGAGATGGAATAATCGTCAATACGCGACGTCTCTCTTCGAAGCTTCTTCGAAGAAGAAGTTACTCTCCCGACGACTCCGGAACCCTCTTCCTTCTTCTCCTCGACCGCTACTGTACGTACAGGACGCCGACGGCGATCGCGACCGGACGGGCAGACCGAGCGCAAAAACCTCAGAGAGGAGAACTGGCGATAAAAATAGAAATGACGGGGAATGGTGGGGAGGGGAGATGCAGCAGGAGCTTATCATCCGATGAAATCGAAAACAAGGTATCAATTACGCTTTCGAAAAAAAATCAAAATCAAAATCAAAATCAAAATCAAAATCAAAATCAAAATCAAAATCAAAATCAAAATCAAAATCAAAATCAAAATCAAACTAAAGGGCGTTTTGCAAATTCCCCGACCGGCTCTATACCAAAGCTACGGGTGCGAGCCCTTGTACAAGTAAGCTTGACGATTACACCAAAAAGGTATTCCCACTTCCCCATATCGACGCCGCTCCTAAAGCTCCCCAAACCTCGACATTCCTATCCAATACCACAGCCGAAGAAGGCCAAAAAAAACCTCCCCCGGCGCATTTTATATATATATATATATTT